GTCCGACTTTGGACTCAGCATGCATTTTGTTGCAGAGGCTGCCTGATTTATCGAGCAAGGTTACTAATTGATGGGAGTGATGCTACTACTGACGAGATTTTAGTATACTCGGGCCGATACTGTCCGTGATGTCAACTGTACTCATAGCAGAGGTTAAATGAATACTTTTTATTGGGGTACGATGCAAGCGATCGTCAAAATAATCTCACCCCTCGTCCCAGATATTTTGCATACGATAATTCTTTCGTTGCCCAAAATAATATTTATTTATTTATCCTAGTCCTAGCACGCAAAATTCCCACTTATAAAACATTCATGGCTCATTTATCTGAGTATATCCGACCAGTTTGATGTGTAAATCTTTTCCGCCCCTTCCAGTTCTCGCCATCTCGCTTAAAAGTTATAATGACCTGCATTCGCGTTTTTTTGATGTTATTCTGTGCTCAGGTCTCAAGGTAGTAGGTGGAGTCATGACGCCTTCTGGCCGCCTGGGAGCCTTTATAAATAAAGTGAAGGCAGGCAGCATCGCTGATTTGGTCGGACACCTGAGAGCCGGCGACGAGGTCCTCGAATGGAACAATCAGTCTCTCAAAGGAAAGTCTTTCGAGGAGGTGTCTGACATCATACTCCAATCGAAGCAAGACAGTCAAGTGGAATTAATTGTACAACGAGACCTTTAGTAAGCCGTTGATCTCAATCACCTACAGCCTCCGTATTCACTTTACTACTACTAATGATATAAAAAATATCCAGGAGTCAAACCTGTTATTTTTTAAACAACTCGAATTGGCAGAAAATGCTTGTAATAATCCTTCTCAAGATAGAAAAGATAGAGATAGAGTAGGACACCTCATGATGCTAGTCATGCTGATCATTATGCCAGGGAGGAATATAAACAGTGTGTGAATAACTCATGGAACATTCCACACATATTATGAGGGTTAAGATCGAAGAAGCAGATAGTCAACACATACCCAGATAACTTTGGTAGGTTGTCATATTTTTCAACAACTAAAGTGCATATGTGATGTGAATTTCATCGCTCCAAGATAGTACATAGCCTATGAGTTGTATTCACCCTATTTCGTTTAAGGTGGTGAGGGCGTGGTACTTGATATTTTCCATAATGATATGAGTAGAGCTGACGTTTCCATTGAATTTCACTTAGCCTCTAGTTGCCAACAGTTGTTCTCATTCAGGGTGGACTGCAGTTTCGACCTTGAATACATCTTATCAACACCCCCAGCGGGAGTCGAACCATGACAGTGCAGAGTGTTAGCACGACACATTAACCAATACGCCACATTGCCACGAGTGCTCTTGGGTCATAAAGCAGATATGATTTCAAGTAAGGCCAGACCTTTTTCCATATCACATTCTGTATTGGGATTATCGATGAAGGAAACTAATAAATTATTATGGAAAATGCCGGAAATTCCTTGAAATTCACATCTGCCCTGTGACCTAAGGGTATTAAAGGCAATGTGGCATAGTGGTTAACGTGTCGAGCTAACATTCTGCACTGTCATGGTTCGACTCCCGCTGGGGGTGTTGATAAGACCAATACAGGGTTAAAACTAAAGTCCATCCTGAATAAGAACATCATTCGGGAACACAAGGCTATGTGAAATTCAATGGAGACGCTAGCTCTACTTATATCATTGTAAGAAAAATCAACTACCAGTCGTTCATCACCTTAAACGAAATAGGGTGGATACAACTCATATATCTGGTAGTCTCGAAAACGTACTCACTTACAAATACATATCCTATTTTACCTCGATGTACTTATGTAGGCAAGATGAGTGTGAAAATGCCATCAATATTAAAACCAATAATAAGTTTAGTATGGAGATGTAAAAGTCAATAAATTGATTTTTTTACATGTATTAGTGAGCAAAGAAGGTAATATGTTACGTAGAGACGTGCATATGAAATCCATACACGCAGGTTTCCCTATCAATTTCTTTTTTAACCACAAGTATGTGTTGAAGTAGAAGTTATGCAGTCAATAATAATGTGGAGTCTGCGCCTGGAAAACGCAAGCCACAGGCACACGAGATCGGTAGACTAAAGCAAGTATTGTTTAGAAACAATTAACCATTATTTTTAATAGATAATTACATTTCAACTGTCAGTAACAAGATGAGTGGAGATGGCTATCTGGGGCGGGATAAACAATAGGATTACTCTACTCGGTTGCCGAATTTGCCTTCCTGTCAGTTTGCGAAAAAGTTGAATGATATACTAAAGAAGTGGAAAATC